TCATCAGTAAGTTCGGGTTGAGGTTGTGCATTTTGATCGACAGGCTTAGGTTGATACCTTTGATATGATGTCAAGAAATCTTCTTGATTTGATTCTTCTTCATTAGTGTTGCTTGGTTCAACCTGTATGCTTAAGTTTCTCACATCATTTGTGACATTGTTGATTGATCTCTTTTCCATCTATTCGTCAAACTTGTCATGAATGGATTCTTCTATCACCATAGTTCTTTTGTTAAGAACTCTGAAAGCTTTGCTTACTGAAGAATATCCAATGAATAGACCTTCATTCGCTCTTTCGTCAAAAGTTATCAGATGACTATTTCCATTATTGTGGATGAAACACCTGCATCCAAAGATATGAAAATAAATAATTATAGGTTTCTTACATTTCCATAGCTCGTATGGAGTGAGTCCATGAGCTTTATTGATGAGAGATCAATTCTGGGTATAACATGCTGTGTTGATCACCTCAGCCCAAAATCGTTTCGGCAAGCTAGAGTGAGCTACCATAGTTCGGGCTGCTTCTTTCAACGTTCTGTTTCTTCTTTCGGCAACTCCATTTTAATTTGTTGAGGTGTTCGTGCAGCCGAAAGTTGGTGAAAGATTCCATTTTGTCCGCAGAATTTTGTGATAACTTTGTTCACGAATTCTGTGCATTGATCTGATTTGACCCTTATGATGCTGACTTCCTTCTCTGTTTGTAGTAGTCTAAGAAGTTCGGGTAGCATCTTTTCAGTCTCATTCTTCTTTCTCAAAAAGATTGTCCATGTATATCTGGTGAAGTCATCTACCACTACAAGAGTGTATTTTCGTCCACTTAGACTTAATGGATCAACTGGACCAAACAAATCCATGTATAGGAGACTTAGAGGATGAAGGTTCGTGTCTATGGATTTGGACTTGAAAGAAGATTTAATATGCTTGCCCTTCTAACATGCATCACATATTTTGTCCTTGATGTATGATACTTTCGGTAAGCCTTTTACCATGTTTCCTTTTGCTAACTTGCTGATTGTCTTGAGATTTAAGTGATTCAACTTATTATGCCACTCCCAACTTAGATCATACGTGTGTGTGTTATCATATGTGTGTGTAATAATAACGATAAAACTAACAATAATTATAATATATGTTGCTCCCTATTTCTAGTATTTGTACTGTCAGATTTATTTGTCACGCACGGAGTATTATAATAGTGTTTTAATATTGTCCTATTGTATTACAGTTAGGAATTTTAATATAGAGTTGTAGTACGAATAGAAAAGTAGGAAAGAATATATTTTATTAGAAATTGTATTACACTATTTTACAATATTAGAATATGAATTTTAATATAGAATTATAGTAGGAATAGAAAAGTAGGAAATAATATATTAAAATTTGAGGATTTTGGGCGGGAAGTTAAGTTAGGATTTTGATAGATAGTATAGATTATATTTGTATATGGATTACGTGTATATATATATATATATCAAAGAGTGTCATTCGGATGAATCGGACCTGCTTTTGTGCTCCGTGGAATAATCCGGCCACCTCTGTTCAGGTGTTTCTATCATTATTTGTATTTTTTTTTGAAAGGATCATTATTTGTATTTAGCAGCGCTAATACTTCTAAACAAACTAAACTAGTTTTTATTTTATTTGCTGTTACTACAAATTTCCAGTGTTTTACTTTAGCTTCAGTTTGATCTTCCTGACATTAAAGCCGTGTTTTTTCTTCCATTGCATTGTCTTCGAGCCTAAAAATCATGAGAAACACTCTAACCCTGAGAGGTTGGCCCTGCTATTAACTAATATATTAGCATGTGCTTCATCCCGACTAAAAGGCTAAACTAATAGTTGGATTGCATATGTCACCAGATATTCCAATCCATGACTTTTGACATGTGCTCTATCTCAACTAAAAGCTTAAACTGATAGTTGAATTGTACATTTATGTTTATATTTTTTATGCTCAACAGGGAGAAGGTAGTGATATTGTTGAATTCAATCTCTTTTTTTTTTCTTTTCTGTATATATTTGCTTCAAGCTGGGGTTTTCATGTATTCTTCCAAAAGGCTGAACTCCCCCTAAGGCCCCCCCACACCCCGACCCGACAGAGTATTTGGAAGGTGGGGTTTTCATGTAGTGATTGGATAGTTTGCAAATATATAAGTGTCACTGTCATTATTATATTCTCAAATGATTAATTTTTCAAGGTTAGAAGGTATAGCCACATTTTAGAGATGGGAATTTTGGTGAAGAAAAGGAAACTGTAAACTATGTTTTTACAATTGGAATTTCTAATGTTGGTTTCTCTTTTTATTAGAAATGGAAATCTCAAGAAATAGCAATCAGAGGGCCATGGAAGATGTAATTAGTAACTTGCCAATTGATGCTTTAAACTGCATCCTAGATCGCTTGCCTGCTCAAGATGCGGCAAGAACAAGTATTTTGTGTAGAAAATGGAGATACATATGGGCTGGTCACCCAAATCTTGTAATTTATCCAGTCACTGTCACCATAGTCAATGACATTCTTTTACAGCACACCGGACCGATTCTAACTTTTAGTGTCAATATTTCACATGTGGACATGACTCAGTACCCGAATATTGATCGATGGATACTATACTTGTCAAGAAATGGGTTGAGGAAACTGAGAATCGACAATTCCCGTGTTAGTCTCTATGCACTTCCCTCTTATATATTCTTGTGTCAACAACTTACACATCTGGTTCTGTCTAAAAGCATCTTCAAACCACCCAGTGGTACTACCGGAAGCTTTCATAGTCTTAAGCTGCTTTCTTTGAGTAAAGTTGCCTTCAAGCCAGAGGTTTCTGCTTCTATTTTTACTGCCTCAAAGCTAGAGTATTTGAAATTAACTAAGTGCACCGGTATACATCACTTGAACTTTGAGGGCTGTTCACAATCACTTTTCTACTTGGAACTTAACATGAATCATGGGGTTAAACTGGGTTGTTTTATGCACTGCAAAAATATAACCATTGCATATCTTGGATTGCCAATAGAAGTTGAATCTCTTCACTGTAATGAAAGGATCAATTTCACAAGCCTTTTTGAGCACTGGACTCAAATTTCAAAGCTTACTTTGGATGGAAACCATCTCAAGGTGCATTTTCTTTTAAGATTCTCCGTGTTCATTTCCAAAATGATATATATTTAGGTTGTGTTTTAATTTTTATCTGTGGTGCAAAGCTTTTGGCTGCAGGTTCGGTTATGAGTGCTCTTCCAGTTAAAGTTAATAGCGTAAGGGAACTTATATTTTTTAGAATCAACTTTACCGATCTGGAACAAATCTCTTGCATTCTTTGCTTGCTTCGTAGCTCTCCTGGGGTGCATAGCCCTCAAATTTGGGCAAAGGTGGGAAAATGAATAAATGATACTCCATTTCCATTTATTTCATCCGTTTTGGTTTGAACTTATTTCAATTTGTGTTATAGATCCCTGCAGTGACGGCTTGGGACGACCTTGCTTTACAGTATTTGCAAGAACATAGCGGTATGAGCGAAGATATTAACAGTTTGTAGACATTGGTGATCAAATATTTCCAGGGGTCAACAGCTGAAATGCTTTTTATAAAGCTTATACTTTCATGCTGCTCATCACTAGCAAGGATCACTTTTGTGGACAATCAAGTATTGCTGTCGAATTTCTCAAATATTTTAAAAGAGTTGTTTTTGTTCCCTCGAGCTTCAAGGAAAGCGCAAATTGTGTTCTGAACCTCTGGTTAATGTTTTTAGTTTCTCAATTTGAAATATAGTCTCAATGAGTTGTTGAGACATCTTATGATTTCATCAAGTTTTTGTCTTGCCTTCTCACCACTACTAAAAACTAATTACCAAATATCATGAATAATCATCTATCTGTATATAATTTAGTTAATATTTGAAGAACATGTGTCAAGTACTGTATAGTTAATTTTTGGACACAATCTGTTATTATTAGTGAGTGCACTCCAGTATTAGAAAATAATTCACGTGCACTGGAAATCAAAATTGGAATGATGTTAAAACACGTTAAATTCATAAAAATATGAAACTAAGAAAAATACTGAATATTGTAAGAATAATTCAAGTTAGATATAATTGGGTAAAGAACAATTGCGACAAACAATAAAAGTACAAAGTAGAGAACAAGCCACAAAGAAATCAAATTAAAAAATTCAAGAGAGATACAATGAGAATTGGAACTGAATGGCGGAGCAAGCATCAATAGATCGGACTTGGATTTACTTCTTTTATTATTATTATTATTATTATTATTATTATTATTATTATTATTATTATTGTTGTTGTTGTTGTTGTTGTTGTTGTTTTTGTTGTTGTTGTTGTTGTTATTAAAAATCAAACCGTATTCGGTTCGGTTCGGTTTACAACAATCTTGAACTATTCAATTTTTCAGTATATTACTAGTTCGGTTCGATACGGTTTGATTCGGTTCAGTTCAGGAAAACTAAATCGAATTGCCCACCCCTAATCCCATGTATGAAGTTCCTTATTTTCTTCAAAGAATACCTATATGGACTTATGGACTTCCTAGCTTCACCTTTCAGTACACTATGTAACATTGTCCTCTATTGAATGATCTAGAGAAATCCTAATAATTAATCTTAGGGAAAATTATAATTTTATGATCTTCCATAATATGTCAATTATCAATGTCATTCCTATATTATTAGTGGTGTAAATGTTGTCCATCAATTTTCAAAACGGTACATATATTGCCCCATCTGTACCGTGCAGGAGGAAAATTGCGAGGCAACATTTACACTACGAATAGGCCAATATATGTAACATTTTGAAAATTGAAGGGAAACATTTACACCACTAATAATTCAGGAGTGACATTGATAATTGACATATTATTTAGGTGCATAAATTACAATTTCCCTTACTCTTATATTGATATTCATTGATGTCCTTTTAGTCGGCACTCTCGTCTTAATAGAAATAAATGTAATGTGTAATGACTCAATTTTAACCCTTTATTACATAAATAGTGTTTTACCCGTGAGATGCACAAAATAAATTATATTATTATGAATTTAAATAAAATATTTTAAAAATAAAAAATATTAAAATATATAATATAAAATATAATAATATAGTTAAGTTTTCATATATTTGGCAGGGTATATACATTCATAACATACAAAATTAAAATTAAAATTTGGTGTGATTAAGCTTAATATTGTACGTTATTACCAAAAAAAAAAAAAAAACAAAAAAGAGAGAAGCTTAATATTGTACATATTTAGATATATTTATATATAGGGAAGGGATCGGGTGCATTTGAGACTTCCCGTGCGGTTGTTCGGGTGGACGCACGTTAAGCATTAATCTGTCGCACTTAAAGTACACAACACACGCAGATTAAGCACACAAACAAAACACCTTTAGAACACAACATCACGCATGTTAAGCACAAGCCTCACGCATGTTAAGCACACAAACACACGCACCTTAAGTTTTAAAAATAACTCACATTAAGTACACTCTCACGCACATTAAGTACAAAACTCACGCACCTTAAAGCACACGACTCACGCATATTAAGAACAAAACTCACGCACATTAAGCATAAAACTCATGCACTTTAAAGTTTCAACAACAACTCACATTAAGTACACACTCACGCACATTAAGCACAAAACTCATGCACATTACGCACAAGACTCACGCACATTATTAAGTACAACACGCACATTAAACATTACACACTCACGCACATTAATCACCCGTACAACCGCACGGGAAACACTTAAATGCACCTAAACCTGAACCTATATATACACACACACACACACTGAAGGTATAAGAGTATAATTAAACCTTGATTCAAATAATAAAGGTTGTAATTCCATAAGGTACTCACCTTGGTGATTACTGGGTGAAATTCCCGGCCTCCTTCTCATTATGTTAAAATTCAAGTTTAAAAGGGTTAAAAATATATGACAAGGTTATGAGTCTAAAAGGAGGTTTCACATTCCTAATGAGATTTCTATACCTAAAAGAGGTTTCTCATTCCTAAAATGATTTTTATTCCTAAAAAGAGGTTTCCAATTTCCTTTGAAAGAGGGTTTCTTATAACAACTATAAATATCCAAAAAAAAAAAAAAAAAAAAAAAAAACTCTAGGGATCATAAGTTTTCTAGTCTCCAATATCATTAGATCAAAGAGGTGAAGCATTCTTGCTTTATTCAATTTAGAGATTACATCTTCAATGGAATCAAGTTTTATTTTATTTCTATTTAATTAAAAATCCGTGACCATGAATATTGTTTAGTGCTTTTAGAATTTTTATTTGATTTTTTTTTTTGGGTTCATATTGCTTTGGATGCCTTAATTTTTAATTTTTGTATTTTTAAATCCTTTATGTCATACATAAACAAACATCAATATTGGTAATCATTATAATTTCACATTGTTAGTATAAGGTGTTATTATTATTCTTATTTCCTTTGTATAGTTTTATATTGTGTGGCTTAGATAACTTGACTTAGTATATCTATTTGTTAGGATTAGTTAGAGTTAGATATACTCTGTAATCCTGATGTCACGTATCAATTAACGAAAACCTTTTTCAATTTGGTATCAAACTGGGTTTTCGATCTCTCTCAAACCTCCACCGCAAATATTCCCCCTCCCTTCCCGCACTCAAACTCATCCATGTCGTCCTCCGATTCCGATCGTACGGCGTCCGATGGTGCAGCTCCGGCAGCTGGCGGTTCACTCGCCGGCGCTCACCATTACGTCACAATGAAGCTCACGCTGAAGAACTACCTCTTTTGGCGCATGCAGATCGTCTCCTCCCTCCATGGCCAGGAGCTTCTTGGCTTCGTTGATGGCAGCCTTCCCTGCCTACCGGAGTTGATCGCTGGTACACCGGCGAATGACGACGCCTCGTCAAGCGCGACCGTGCAGTCCGCCACTCCGAATTCGGCTTTCAAAGCCCGGGTGAAGCAGGACCAGACCATCATCTCCCTATTGGTCTCATCTATGGCGGATGAGACGCTGCATCTTGCACTCGGGAGGAACACATCGGCCGAGATATGGTCATCCATTACCTGCGCGCTAGGATCCTCAAGCCAGGCGAGATGCCTAAATCTGCTGTCACAATTCCAGATGCTCAAGCAGGGCAATTCGACCACCGGAGATTACCTTGGGCGTGCCGGCGTTCTGGTGGAGTCACTGATCCAGGCCGGCCGGCCGCTGACGTTGATGGAGCAGAACCTCTATATTATTCGCGGGCTTTGTCCGGAGCTCAAGTCCTTAGCCACCGCACTGACTGCTACCGGGAATCCGGTCAAGTTGTCGCATTTATCTGATTATTTGCAGGCACACGAATTTATATTGGTGGACGATTATCCATCGCTGGATGGTGGTGCGGTGCATACTGCTATGTATGCCGGCCATGGGCGCGGTTCTCATAATAACAATGGTGGCCGGAACCAAAACCGGGGTGGCGGACGGACTTCTAGCGGTAACGGCGGTCGGAATCAAAACCGAGGTGGCGGACGTGGTGGCCGTGGGAATCAGCGGTGTCAAATTTGCAGGTCACACGGCCACACGACTGTGTATTGCTATAAGCGGTATTCCACGCAACCGCCTGCTCAGGCTCACGTGGCCGTGTCCGGTGAGGCACCGTCGTCCTCGGCATCGCATGCTCCAGATGGGTGGTATCCCGACACCGGGGCTACTGCACATGCAACTCCCGATGCGTCAATGATGGGTAATTCCGAGGAGTATGATGGGCCGAACGTGTCGGCAATGGGGCAGGTTTGGCTGTCTCGAGAGTCGGTCACACGTCTATTCCGTCCAAATCTAAAAATCTCCATGTAAATGATGTGTTACATGTCCCGTGTTTGTCTGTTCCTTTATTGTCCGTTCATAAGTTTACTAATGACAACAAAGTGTTTTTTGAATTTCATAACGATTCTTTTTTTGTGAAGGATTCCACAACCAAGGCGGTTCTACTTAAGGGATCTACTTCTGGCGGGTTGTACAAGTTTCCATTGTTACGGTCACAATATGTGTTCGTCAGTTCCCGTGCCACTCCCACCATTTGGCATAACAGGCTTGGTCACCCGCACAGTCAAGTATTAAATAAAGTCCTGAAAAGCTGTCCCGTCACGGTCAATAAAAACACCACTCTTGGATCGAGTGCATCGTGTCACCTGGGCAAGTCGTCTCGGTTTAAACTAGATAGTATTTCTCATTCCAGTGAAAATGTACTTGATTTAATTTTTACCGATATTTGGGGTCCTTCCCCTGAACTATCTAGTAGTGGCAATCGTTACTTTTGTTTATTTATAGACGACTATTCCAGATTCTGCTGGTTTTACCCATTAAGGGTGAAATCGGATATATATAAAGTGTTTGAGTCGTTTCGTTTTTTTGGTAGAGCGGCAGTTTTCGCGCTCTATCAAGTCTATTCAGTCCGATCTAGGGGGTGAATACCGCAAACTCCACACAATTTTCCAATCTTTAGGTATAAATCATCGCCAATCATGTGCCTATACACATGAACAAAATGGCAAAGTTGAACGTCGTAACAGGCACGTAGTTGAAACAGGCCTCACTCTACTTAGGTGACAATTTAATCTCATGGCTCTCGAAGAAGCAGCGCACTGTGGCTATGTCCTCCACTGAGGCTGAGTACAAGGCCTTAGCTGATGTCTCCGCTGAGGTTACTTGGGTCGTTTCATTACTACGAGA